TTTCTCCCTCAGGCTTGCCGCACGGAAGCCTCTCCTATCCTGTCCCCCCTTCTCTCCCTCAGGCTTTCCTCACAGGCTCCTCTCCTATCCCCCCTTTCTCCCTCAGGCTTGCCCCACGGTAGCCTGTCCTATCCTGTCCCCCCTTCTCTCCCTCAGGCTTTCCTCACAGGCTCCTCTCCTATCCCCCCTTTCTCCCTCAGGCTTGCCCCACGGTAGCCTGTCCTATCCTGTCCCCCCTTCTCTCCCTCAGGCTTTCCTCACAGGCTCCTCTCCTATCCCCCCTTTCTCCCTCAGGCTTGCCCCAGGGAAGCCTCCTCTATTGTACCACCTTCTCTCCCTCAAGTTTGCCTCATAGAAGCCTCTCCTATCCTCTCTCCTCTCCCTCAGGCTTGCCTCACAGGAGCCTCTTCTATCCTCTCTCCTTCTCTCACTCAGGCTTGCCCCACAGGAGCCTCTTCTATCCTCCCTATTGCCTTCACTCCCCCTCTCTTTTGCCAAGCCTCTTTCTCTATTTCCCCATTAAGCCTCTTTTCCTATCCTCTCAGGCCTCCTTTTCCCCAGCCTCTCCCCCCCTCTCTCTCAAAAAAAGGCCTCCTTCCTCCTCTCACACTCCCTCGGCCCCCTCTTCTTCCCACCAAAACCACCTCCTCCTATTCCCTTCTCCCCACCCTGCTACACCCCTATTATCCATTGTAATGTGCTGCAGATACTATAGAGATCAGTTTAAAAATATGTCTCAATCATCAATTATAAATGCAAATCAAATATTAAAGCATGAGCTCCGTCATACCACAACCACTTTAGGAGGATAGCCGTGCCCAACTAAAAAGTAATTATTTCCTTTGAGACAATGTCACCCAGGGCTAATTAGTTTTCAGAACTTCCTGGAATACACAGAGCACAGCAATCAGTGAGAAACTATCTCCCATGTGAGCAAGCAAAGTTCAAGAGCAACACCCCTAAAGATGTGTTACTTTCTAACAGGACCCTGCCTCTTTGGAGGAGCTTTCTATGATGTTCCACAGCATATTGCTACTACTGAGGGTACCAAGGAAGCCTCTGATTATAAATGCAATAAGCAGATTTCATAGAAATCTTTGCAGGACTTGTAACCAACTACTGGTTAATTCCACCCTCAGGAAAATATTCAATTGAGCTGTATAATTTGAGACATAACCATTGCAAATATCTTTCTGATTTATTTTTCATATCATTTGACTTTGGTGAGCAGAAAGAAGCATTTAACATTTTAAAGCTAAATTCATTTTTAGTAAGATTAAAAAATGAAATATTGTATAATGAATATTTATGTTGTTATGCAAAATTGTTGTAAGTACCCCTTGTACAAGCACATTATGGATAATGGGATAAAGGTATCATGAATCTCTACAGCATTTTTCATAAACACAAACCATGTGAGAACATAATGTGCTATTATAATCTAAAGTAATAAAGTACCATTTGTTCTGAATGTTCTAAAAGTATATTTTTTATGTTATAATGCAGTCATGTAGCTGTGCTATTGTGCTCTTTAAATTCAGTATTTCTCATTTTAACAGTTTGCTTTAAATTTACATTAACATAATTCTTTACATTCTACGTCAAGGCATATTATCTGCAACTTGCTTCCAATGTGTATGTATTCCTTTTCATCATTTTTTCCCCCTTGGAGACTACATTTATAGCATTCATTTCCATTCTTCTATATATCCCCATATATTATAGTAGTCCCATACAAATCATTAACATGCTGCATCAAGCATTTCCTTGCTTTAATTTCTCCCCAAATTATTTCATCACTTCTAATTTTAATTCCATTCCCTGCTTATGTCTCTTTGTTTAGCTGTCTTCACTCACTTCTAAAACAATTTTAATGTCTTATCAAAATGTTCTGCCTCTTTTAATCTTAATTCTTCCTTGCTCTCTTCACATACTTTTCTCACAATTATCTTTTCTTTCTGTACATGTTATATATTTCCCTTATACTCGGTTTTTGCAAGAGTTACCTATAACCTATTCCTCTTCATCATTCCACCAAATATCCATTTTCATGCTTTCCATTCATGCAATCCCATATATGTCTTGGCACTTTGCAATATAATTCTCACTGTATTCCAATCAAATTCCACAGTTTCTTTCCTTACACTCACTTTCCACAGTGAGGGATCCTTGGTGAACTCTAAGCTTGCTTGTTTTCTTGCTGATGTTTCATTACCCAAACTAGGTAACATTATCAGTGCTAGTGGACTGATAGACTAGCTCTGATGACGTGTTACCTAGTTTGGGTAATGAAACACTTGCAAGAAAACAAGCAAGCTCAAAGAGCACTAACTCCTCATTTCAACCCTGAGCTATAATTATTCTCCTTTATTGGTACTTTCCACACTGAAGCCACAGGTTTCCATAAGCCATGATCATTATCAATTGGGAACATGATCAGTCAAGGCTTTCACATT